CTTATCCAGCACCATTCATGCTCCAGAGGCGCGGGCGGCTGCAGTGTGCGCACCCTTACCGATGGTACCTCATCTTACAAATCAGCTGCGGAGTCCAGGGTAACGGGCATTAAACTGGGGGCTCTCACAGAACCCGCCGGACTCCCTAGGGCATGGCCTCTGAAAACCAAGGGACTGGATAAGCCTGGACAGGAGGAGAAAGGCTTGCTGCCAGGTACCTGACCTCTCCAGAGCCCCCAGGGGCATGGCCATCAAGACCAGATTGTCCTCGCTACACTGTTGTAGCAATCAAGTAAGCCCCTGTGTAGCTGTCACAGGATTGTCAACTTTTCCAAGGGGCTCACACAAGAAACTAATATGTCAGGTCCTCTAGGTACAGTAGGTGTAGCCTCTTTGGAACGCGGTTGTGGAATGGACCGTGGGAAATGTGGGCAGGAACTGATTTTTAGATGACAGCAGAAGACACCTCGGCTCCCACACTAGGTCTCAGAGACCTTGAACTCACACAGACATCCACCATGCAATGTCAGGTAAAAGCAACACAGCTTGAGCGGGTGCCACATGGGCAACCAGCCTCACCGGACAGCCAACCTCACAGTCCTGACCCTTCCAGAGGCCTTGTGAACAGCCCCATCAAGTCCCTGGACCCCAAGAAGCCACACAAAAGGAGCCCCACACAACCACAGAGGGCAGAGAGATGAGTCTGCGCCATGACCTCCTCATCAGCTCCTGGAGTCCAGCTGAAATCAAGAAAGAAGACATCTCCAGGGGCGCCCACTGTGAGCCTCCAGCCAAGTGGACCTCTGGGTGTCCGACTCTGTCCAGGAGGGAAGGGGGAGGAGCAGTGTTTCCTGTTGGTTGGTACTATCTTTTCCCAGTTGGATTTTCTTTTAATGTATGAGAAACTGTTCTATTGAGGAGAAAACATGATTTAAATGGTCCTGGGTGCCTGCCTGGCCTTTTCTCGCCTTGGGGAAAGCAATAAATAAATAACATCCGCTTCTTGATCTGTATGCACACGAGAAACAGAACACCCTGTACTTTTCCCGCAGATGAAGTAGAGAAGAAAAAAGTGCTGGCTCAGCCAGGCAGGGAAGGAGGGAGGGAGAGGCAGGGCAACAGACACTTGTCTTCTTGCCTCCGACTTCCACAGCAAAATAGGGGTAGGAGTCTGGGGCCTCCTGCCTCTGCCCGCAGCAGAGACCCCATGCAGCAGAAATTACTACGCAGGTGAAGGTCCCAGAGCTTCAAGAAGTCAGGCCAGCCAGGGTATGAGTGACCCCCATTCATGATGTCCATGGCCTCCTCCCACCACGTCTTTGGTCCTTTCCTCAGGCCACAGCCTCCCCCTTTTCCCTGGACAGTACCATCCTGGCTGGGCTGCCCAAGGAGCCAACCTGGACAGAAAGCAGGCTGGAGGCATGCACAGGATTCGCATAACCTGGAGCATAAGCCATCGATTCATAAAGCATCTACCACATTCCAGGTGTGAAGAAGGCGCCTGTATATCAGCCCTTTACTCTCTGGACCCAGCGGCTTTCTGGCTTTGGTTCCCACTCCTAGACACCCAGTCCTCTCCCACACATAAACACAGACCTTCACCTCCACCAATCTTAGGCCTCCCCGGCCTAGCCTACCTAAGGCCCTCACATGCGTCAGATAGGCTCCCTCTAGGAACACTCTTTTGGGGGTGCCGTGCTTGTGTAACCGTAGGGTTGTGTGCTCAAACCGGGCCAGCTCCCTTACTGCTTCCCAAAGTAGCAATCACCCTGAACTGTGAGTCCCTTCCAGTGACTCTGTATGACAGTACCCCTACCTGGCCCCAGGGCATGGACAT